TCTCTCTCTCTCTCTCTCTCTCTCTCTCTCTCTCTCTCTCTCTCTCTCTCTCTCTCTCTCTCTCTCTCTCTTTCATGGGACTTGCCGGAGGGCCGTGGGAGGGCCGCATTTATATAGAGCAGGGAGGGCTGCTCGAGGGCCGGATTAAACCGGGCCGCGGGCCGCAAATGGCCCGCGGGCCGGACTTTGGACATGTCTGAGTTAAGTCAATCAATCAATAAATTTTTCATGGTTCTCTGTTTCCAGCAGGTCCTGTTTTCAAATGCAGAGATACACATCAACTCCATCTAAGCATTAAAAAAATTAATATACTGTAGTGTAAACGCTCTTAAATATTTAGAAAATGTGAGCTGTTCAATCTAGTGCTTTCCATATGTGTTTCAGGTACAGTATTCACCAGCTAGCATTCCCATTTATAACACTGTCTGAGAATCATGGGAATTGGTTTCAGACATCTAAACGCCATGTTAGAGAAAACATTATTAAATAATCAAATGCCCTTGATTTTCTTGATTTATCTATCAGTATTTTTATAGTGTTTTTCAATATTATGCATAGGCAACAATATTGTGTATTCATTACAGATGAACATTATTTGCAAAAACCAAAAGCCCTTCCACTCAGAATAGCTATTGCAAATTTATAGAAAGCTCCAATTATGGTTTCAATTTTTTTTAAAGGAATTTCACCACCAACAGAACAATAAATGTTAGAATGGTATTTTGACATGCATAACAATGAAGCTTTCTTAACTGAGTTATGCTGAGTCAAAGGGCTGGGAGGAAACAATGTTCATCCTCATTAAAAGAGATATCTAAAGATTTGTTTTTTCCTGAACTTCACCAATCAGCCTTGGAAGTATTATTCCATTCTTATCAACTCCAACACAACTAAGTTTGATTCAGAGTGACAAGCTTATGAGCAAAACAGATCACGTGACAGTGGTAGACACCACGCCTAGAACTCTAAATGAAATTAAAAAATAATAATTTTTTGGGAATTAAATGTTGGTGTGCAATTATCACATGAGATTCAAGCAACAACATGCTTGGCATTGATGTCAGCCAAACTTGCAAGATTTCTTTTTTGAACATGGGTGCCTTGATCCTGTGAAAGGTTGTTGTTGCCTGTGTTGAACCATTGACTCTCCAAACAGTAGGGAGATTATATTTGCTGATTTCCCAATATATCACAAGACCGCAGTGGACATCATCCCTATCTAAAGGACACTGATGATGATGGCTTGGAATCATAGGACTTGTAATTCAATACATCTAAAGGCCAAGTGAGAGAAGACTGACATTCAGTGTTATATGGGAGACACAATAGGAAAAAATTTTACATTTTCTTAGGCTTGTAGGGCCAGTTAGAAAACTTCATGGACAACAGAGTTAAGCACAATTTCGGGGAGATACTTTTATAAGGTGAAACTACAGAAGAGTTAAGATCCTGCAGATTGCGAATATTGGCTTCATAACCTCTGACACCTTTTCCTCCTGATTGCTTATGATGCCTTTTTACTAATCATTCTACCATTTCCTGTGATTGCTAACATTGATCTCTGCCAATCCTGGTACTGATCTGCAGATGGATCTACCCGATGACCAATTGTTGAATCACCTACCCAGAGGCATGGAGGTTCTTCAGGCTAACACCAAAACTATGCCCACATTTTGCTGCACCCTCATACCAAGCCCTTTACTCAAGGATCATATACCACATTCCTTCCTGCTGAATTGTTACAAAGTTCCTGTTAATCTTTCTGAATGGGGTTAACGTCTTGCCGAACAATTTTTGTATGCGTAAGCCTGACTCTGGCCAACCTGTGCAGTTTGTGGCCCACAGGCAGGAAGGGGGATCGAAGAAAGAAACATCTATCTTGTAAAGGACACTTTGTACATTTAATTCTGAATTAGGCTTTTAGGGATAAACTTCTAAATTTAAGGGATCTAAAGTTGACAAGGGAGTCATCTCAAAAGGTGAAGCAACCAGCGTCACCTTTTGTCACCCTGTAGCTGCCTCTGCAAATAATTGCTGAAAACTGGGGACACCATTTCTTCCCATTTTGCAGTTTAACTTCTAATGTTGGTTTAACAAAGTTTAACCCAGCTCTCCCAAAAGTGAAAACATGAAAAAAATAAGAGAGAGAAAAGAAAATCCTGACCACATCCATACAGAGGGGCTTACTATTATTTGAGGAAAATAAGGTTGCAGTAGGCAGGACAGTTAAATTTGCTATGCTGCATGATTTTGTTAACTTTGCCTCTCTTTTACCAGCCTAAAAATCCAAAAGAAAGTTCTTTATAATTTTGATAGGGCAGCACTTATACCTGGAAATCTTACAGATGTATTGGATGTGCTGGGTGGGAATTTTGGAAGCTGTGCTCTGAACACATCTGATTTGATAGTGAAGCTCTAAGGGCATTTAAACTAAATTACATGGCAAGATATCCAGGGCTGATTCATATGTTGATTACACACTGCATGGTGTCTTTTTAAGTTGGAAAGACAAAGGAAAGATTTGTACCAGCCAAATCTTTATTATACAGTAGTATTTTTTTCCCCTTTCATTTTTTATACTGTGCCTTTCCAGTCATTAATTCATGAAACCTATGAATGATTTTTAAAAATTGGCAATAAGACATGATTATGATAGTTCATCTTAGAGGGAATGTATCTCTGATCATTGAGTCTCTTGGCAACTGGGGAGTTTCACAACAGGATCATTTGCTGGAAATGGGCCACTAGACTCGATGGGCATTGATTTGCTCCAACAACTCTTGTGTTCTTTGCTGCATGACGTGATGAGTTTTAAGTCCTTAGATAAAAATCATTTTTTTTAAAAAAATCTTGTTAAAAATCAGAGAAAACACCTCAGTAAATATATATTTACCTTACCTTTCCTAGTGATGTAATTTTATGATGAGGGGATTTAATGGATTAAAAATGTTTTATTGTTTTATATCAAGGGTAGTCAACCTTGGCTCTTTTATGACTCGTGGACTTCAACTCCCAGAATTCCTGAGCCAGCTAAGCTGGCTCAGGAATTCTGGGAATTGAAGTCCACGAGTCATAAAAGAGCCAAGGTTGACTACCCCTGTTTTATATAATGCAAATATTCATTTTGGAAGCTGCCTTTGGGAAGTAGAACAGAATTAGCTTTAACAAGGTGACTGCAAATACTTTTAAGGAAAATACCAGGCCAAAGTAAGTCTAACTTTGCTCTCTTCACAAAAGATTATGCAAATGACCTCCTGGGAAACTAACTCAGGAGTTAAAGTGGTCAGATGTGTGTCTGATACCGAAATAGTAGCTTAAATTTAGCATGTGATGTGACTGTTGCCCTCCCGGATCCTCCCAATCTCCACCACAGCAGCTGCAGCTAAAAATAGAAGATGATAAAAGAGAAGGTTTCTCGATCAGAAAAACAGATCCCGAGTAACTGACAGAAAGAACCACAAAGCAGCAATGCACTCCCTACGGTTTCTGAGCGCTGAAATTCTGGTCTCCAAGGGGCAGTTGGTAAGACAAAACCTGAGCCATCTTGCGCACAACCTCTTCCCTCTTCTTTTTAAGGCAAGCTACTTACAAGAGCAGGTGGAGGTGATTCATGACCTGGTGGAGAACTGGCCGCTGCCCGAATTCAATGTTGGAAAGCTACTGGGAAAGACAGCTGATCACCCCGAAGACATCAGTAACAGAGCCTGTTCTTTGTGCCTGGCCAGCTGCCTAGCTGGTTTGAAGGACTATGTTTTGAATTGCTCATCACCCTATGCGAAACGACTCAAAATGGTGGACTTAACAGGCATAAAGGACGTTGAAGTTCAGCTCTGCCCCTGTAGAAAAACAATGGGGCGATGGGCCCGGACTGAGCTGCTCTCGAGAACCTGCTATGATCTGCTGGTGGACATGCAAAACTTGCCCTTCCACCCGGATGTGTTTGAGATCTCTGTTGATGTCTTCGCCGACATCTTTGTTACTGAACGAAGCTATGAGGTAGTTGTCCAGGCCCTGCTAATGAGGTGTCACTGCCCACTCAAAATCCGCTGCAAAGCCTTCCGAGTGGACAGCCTGGCTCTAAAGAAGCTCTTCTACATCATAAAGCTTACCGAGCCCTCTTCCCTGGGCAAGTTTGAAGTAGTTCACAATGTTAGGCTCCATATGGAACATTTGCAAGTGCTTTTTAATAACGTCCAATTTCCTAAACTGACATCACTCACACTGCCAGCTGGGACCTTTGATGTGAGAAGGTTCACCCCAGAGGATGAAGCCACTCTTTCAGGAATTGGGGAAAAGATGAGCCAGATGACTCAGCTGATAGAGTTGAGCCTAGCATTTTCCACCCTTACTGGACGGCTCCGTAAACTGCTCAGGTAATGCATTCCAGATTGCTTTTGCTGGTGAGTCAAAATGCCAGGCGGTTGGAAATGCATGAAGAAAGGATGAGGGATAGCCACCAAGCAGCTGCCACTGTTGTTGGGAGGAAGGCAGGTTGACGGAGAACAGCCATTGCATGTTGCTGTTTTAATTGATAACAAGTCACTCGCTCACCAGGATGGTTCCATATTATTTCAGTCTTACTTGAAAAGGAATTGAATCTGGCAGAAACCAGCTGTCTCAAAATGTCTCCGAGACACTCTAGCTAAGAGAAATGAACTCAGATTTTCAGTGGCTCGGGCCATTGTTTAATAAGAGATCAATGAAATGCTCCCATGAGGATTTCCAGATAAAATATACTGCTGACAGGTTTTCAGCCTACAATATATGAAACATTTTATACTTTGGGGTTATATAATAATAATAATAATAATAATAATAATAATAATAATAATAATAACAACAACAACAACAACAACAACAACAACAAAACAACAACAACAACAACAACAACAACAATAATAATAATAATAATAATAATAATAATAATAATAATAATAAAGTTGGAAGGGACCTTGGAGATCATCTAGTCCAACCCCCTGCTCAGGCAGGAAACCCTATACCAGACATGTCCAAAGTCCGGCCCGCGGGCCATTTGCGGCCCGCGTTCCAGTTTAATCCGGCCCTCGAACAGCCCTCCCTGCTCTATGTAAATGCGGCCCTCCCACGGCCCTCCGGCAAGTCCCATGAGAGAGAGAGAGAGACAGAGACAGAGGCACTTGCACTTGCACTTCTGTCTCTCTCTCTCTCTCTCTCATGGGACTTGCCCCCTCGCAGGGCTCCTCATTGGCCCTGCGCCCGGGTGCCCCGCCCCCTGGGAGAAGGGCGGCCAGGAAGTCCCTTTCCCAGGCTGGCCCTGTCCCAGGCGCACGTGGCTGGGGAGCCATGCGGGGAAGCCCCGGGATCCCCGCTGGGAGCAACCCCCCGGAGCCTTTGCTGAGTGGGCCAGCCCTCCCGTAAGCTGCAGCCCTGAGAGAGAGCAACCCCTGCGATGTCCAGCCGGCGCAACCGTTGGCCAAGCAGCAGCAGAGCCAGAGATGGAAGGTCAGTGGCAGGGGGGGAGGGAGGGAGCTCTGAGTCCGCAGAGCACTGCCGCGAAGTGGCTGCGGGGCAGGTGGTTCGCCCCCCCCCCGGCTTACTTGTTTCAGTCTCGGCTGGGGCATCGCTTCCTGGGCCGCTCCCTGGGCAGCCGAACCAGCCACGTCTCCCCGTGCTGGGCGGCAGTCATGGCTGGTGCGGCGGCCAGCGGGAGCATCGCTCCCCGGGAAGCTGAACCAGCCACATGTCTCCCCAGCCCGGGCCGGATGGCAGTCAGGCATGAAGCTTGCCTGGCTGCCGCAGGGCTCTCCGCCGCCCGGCCCCACCTCGGCCCCATCGGTGGCACCTTCCTCGGGCACTTTCAGGGAGCCGCCGCTGCTGCCCTCGTTGCTGCAGGAGGAGACCTTGGGATGCGAGGGCGGCGGGGCTGGCGGCGATCGGGACCCCCCCTCGTCGGCACTCCCCGTTGCCGGCGCGGCCGCCCATGGTGCACCTGGCCTTGGCGCCCTCCTCTTAAGATGGCGAAGTGGCTGAGGATGCGGCGGGGGCGGCGGCCGGGCCAGGGGTGGCGACAGGGACCCTGACGATGCTGCAGTGGCTGCCGCCAGAGCCGCTGCCTCCTGTCCTGCTCCCCCTCCCTGCCCATTTGGCTGAGGACGCAACGGGGCCGCCACCACTGGAGCTGCTGCCTCCCGTCCTGCTCCCCCTCCCTACCCCTCCCTGCTTGTTCGGCTGAAGAAGCGATGGGGGGGCAGCTGGGAGCTTCTACCTTCCGTCCTGCTCTCCCCGCCCGTTCGGCGCCATCTGCCTTTCATTCTCTCTCTCTCTCTCTCCTAACCTGGAGGGAGAGGGAGAGAGAGAAAGAGGAAAGAAAGAGAAGAGAAAGAGAGGAGAGAGGGAAAGAGAAAAAGTGGAAAGAGAAAGAGGAAAGAGAAAGAGGGGAAAGAGAGAGA